CCCCCCCCCTCAACTCTGCGTCACCTACACACGCTTGACATGATTGTGAGTACGTCACTGTGTCACGAGCACAATGCAGCTAGCACAATAGTTATCACAAACCCTGTACAACATAGGAAAGGCATTTACCCTGCTTGAGGCGGATGTAACACGTCATTATGTTATCATACGGGATGCTCAGGTCTGCGCTGCAGACTGCAGTGCCTTTACGATGAGATAAGGACGGGGTCGACTTTCTGATTACGAGTTCGAACACAATGCGGTTAAGAGCAGAAAGTGCGAAAGAGCTGAGCTGAGAGCATGTTGCGCTAAATTGTAGATGCACATGGTAGGAAGAGAAGAACGCAAGGTAAGCTGAACGCATTTATTGAGTTAGTTTTATACCTAAAAGACAAAACAGCTTTCTTCCCAATGTCTCGAGTACTGTGCGAACCTCTCCGCTTTCGTATTTTGGATACACCTTGTAAGACGCAAAATCGGTCCTTTTGTGAAGTATGACAATCAAAGTATACGAGCCTGCTTTGTGAAATAACCCCCCCCCCAACTTAATCCTTTTACTTTATTATCTTCCATACATATACACACGGACACCTTCACACATAAGCACATGCACACACACACAAACACAAACACACTCCTGAGCACACTCAGGCTCATACGAAAGAAATACGTAGACACGCAGGTTCTGTATTGCGGTTTAGTTACCATTTCATTTTTAAAGTTGTACGCCATTAATAGGCTACCTATACTGCGGTCAAAAATTCGTGGCTTAACTTATTATCAAATATCTCCTTAACTATTGAACATAGATTCTCCAACTTTTGCCCAATGACATATCAATTAGTCTTAACTGATGAATATTTTTTTAAACATCTGCACACTGTATTCAAAAAAATTCCTTAATAAATAAAAATATAAAATTCCAGTCGATGGCTTCTACAGATTTTTTAAAAGTTTACAGCCGAGGCAATATCGCTATTAAAAGCAAGTCTGTCTTTTTTTTTTCTAATCGTTACATTATGCTTATTGAACGCATGTTTTGAGAAACTTTAGTGTAAAAGATGTGTTCACTATAAAATTAATTTCTTGAAAAAAGTTTTGCAACAAAACAGTGTCATTGATGAGCTGTGACGTAGGCCATATATGCCTATGCAATATGTGTGTGAAAAGGGGGAAGTGCTGTGAACAATCGCATTTTCCACGTGAAGGAGATTTTTTGTAATTTACATAAATTTATGAAGAAAAGTTTTTTTAATACAGATCTAAGATCTAGCCTCAATTGTTGTGGGAAAAATATGATTAAGTTAGCACAAATTGATACAAACTGCTGTGCAAAGTAGGGGTGACGGTTATTTTCCTGTTTAAGAGATCATATTTGAGGATAATTTGCGCCACGAATTTTTGACGCACCATAAAATTATAATTGTCTTGCTCTTAATTGCTAAAGTTTTAATCTATGCGAGTGTCTCTTTGAGATCTTTGAAACTCCCACCAAACCAACATAAGATGAAGAATGCCCGGTTAGAGGTTCAAACCATGGTCTTTTGCATCGTAGTCTAGTATGATACCAACTGAGATAACGATAAGGCCTACAGATTTTATATTATACTATGCGCCGTAGTCTTTTATTAATAAGAAATGCAATCCGGTATTTTGCTGTGAGTATTGTCTCAGACTCAAACATTGAATAAACTACATTTATTTACGAAGGACATGACCTCCAAATGGTAGAGATGTGAGTACTTCGAATGTGAAAAATAGTTGAATTGTCCCCCACTGTTCTATCTATCTATCTATCTATCTATCTATCTATCTATCTATCTATCTATCTATCTATCTATCTATCTATCTATCTATCTATCTATTTATCGATCTATCTATCTATATATCTATCTATCTATGGTAAACAATTGTCACTAGGACACTAACCATAAAGTAAGATAAAGAAGAACTACCCTTTGATTGGCCCTAAGCAACTTGACAGGCACAGTAGAGCCATGTTTAAGTTTGAAATAAGTGATGATTCGTACCGCACCTTCTGTGTTGGTGGGTGGTTGGAGGGTGTGCCTCTGGTTGACCCAGCTTCTTTCATTTCCTTCTGCTTTTTCTGTCTGTTTGCCTTACTGTCCCCCTGCCTCAAATGACCCGTTTTGGGGGGGACCATTGAGCTTTCCATTATTCAAACGTCTTTGTTGTCTTTGTTGTACGCTACTGCAGTCATGTATTTTATGTTCTCTGTCTGCAACACAATGTTAAGAAACTTATGCAATGCAATGATTCACCAGAGTTTCTCCTGAACGCTACATAATATTTTCACATTCATTATCAGCGATTTAACCTCTGTCTTTCAGATTAGAAACAAAATTTACAAACTTTAAAAGCTGAATTGTTTATTAAGTTGAACTGCTGTAATAAAATAATGATCCAAGTCTGCTGTGAGATAATGATTCATTTTTATTGTGTTTTGAAAAGAGGATTACTTCTCCCGGGTTGTGGCTTCTTGTTTTTTGGTTTTGTTGTTGTTTTTGCGAGCGTGTATGTTTGTTTGTTTGATTGTTTGTTTATTTGTTTATTTGTTTGTCGTTTGTTTGTCAGGGTTTGGGTTTTTTTTGGTCTGTTTGTCTGACTGTCTGACTGTCTGTTTGTTAGTTTGTTTGTTTGTGTGCCTGTTTGTTAGCTTGTTTGTTTTATTTGTTTGTCCGTTTGGCATTTATCCTGTTGAGTTCAGTGTAACATAACATCACGTTGAATAGGTTAATCGCTGAGAGTGGTAAAATTTCTCAGTCCTAACGTTTCGTACGACTTAAGCTCTGAAGGATCCAGGAAGACAACAGCAATGATAAGTTCAATATGACATTTGGAACTGGCAGTAAGACGATACGGACAGCAAAGCCGACAAACACAATCAAAACTAACTACACCCTCCTCCTCCACACCCATCAATCAGACGGCATTTTGTGGTTGTTATAACTGAAAAGAAAACGATTTCGGCAAAACTTTTTGAGTAGTTTTCTCTCTTTGTGAGAAGATTGAATTTCTTTTGTGTTGAGAATGCTTTATTGCTCCCCGTAAATCTTCTGTCTGTCTGTCTGTCTGTCTGTCTCGTCTAGCAATTGTTCGTCTGCTCATCTTGCAAACAGGGAAATGCTCACACGAGTTGACTACAAACTGTGTCATTGTGTCATGTCAG